TTATCAATAATGCACATACTAAAGTAAATGAATAAGAAAAATTTATAAACTCATAATGGAATACAAAAAATAAGGAAAAATAAGTGATTCTATATATAAATACAAATTTATTAATTCTTTATAACAATAAGTTATTAAATAATAAAATTACTAATTATATAATAAGGAAATCTATAACAGTAATTTATTATTACCAATTAAGCTTAATTTATGTAATTGCATGAAAGTTGTTTACGAACTGCTTACCTTACGTATCGAAATTGTTACGATTCTTTTATAAATATTGTAATGAAAAATAAACATGTATTATTTTATTTAAAAAATATATGACTTTATTTATATAAAAAGTTGAATTTTTATTTTTTACACGAGCAAAAAAAATTATTTATGTACAAAGAACAAATTTGTAAATTGAATTTAAAAAAAAGAAGCTTTATTTATTTCTAAAAAATAAGAAATAAATAAATGAAAAATAAATGAAAAGTGATAATAAAATAAATAACAATAAGAAAATTTTAAATAAACAGAACAAAGAACTCACTTTAATATTGAAAAATTTTTTTTTAATTTAATTCAATATACAAGAATATTTAAGTAATTTTTTAAATAAAAATTAAGGATAATTACTCGTTTCTATTATAAAGTTTCTCATTATAAAGTTTCAATCCATTCAAATGTTAATAAAATTTTTGATATGAGATAATATATGAGATAATATATAAGATAATAAGATAGTAAAAAAATAAAACGACAAAAAGATTAAATAAAAATACCAGTACTCAAAATACTCAGAACAATAAAATGACAGGGCTCAGTTTTTTATTACCTGGTCATTAACTTGTAATTAGGCTTGATGTTTCATCTAATGGGCTTCATCTATCATGATATCGTAGATGAAGCCCATTGGGTGAAACATCAGGTTAAGCTTAACCATAAGTTAACCAGTTAATGAAAAACCGAGCTAGAGAGAAATAAACCAATTACTTATTCAAACAAGATGAATATCATGACATTTTGAATTACATTGCTTCTCTTCTTACGCCTGCAGCTACACTTATCAGACGAGCATTTTCTTTTACAATTATACCTCTTACATCCTTGTCCTTCAAATTTCCTCACGCATTTTCGTAAATTTTTGTAGTTAGAACTTCATCGGAGTTAATGAACGATTCTCTACATAAAGAAAATTCATATATAGAATTTTTATAACACACCGTGTTCTAGTTCATAAAAATCATTACTTTTAGATAATATCACTGCTAGCAAATATTTACATTTAGCTCAATTTTAGACAATTTTGCAGAAGACTTTTTCATTTTTTCACTTGAATTTGTTAATTAAATTTCGCCTTTCTTTGAGTGTCAAGAACTAGCTCTATTTTCTACAATTTTTGTAACTTTTCCTAAATGATCGTTAACTTCTTTATCTTGTCTTCCATTTTTATTTTCATCTTCTTCGTTCTGCTCATTATCATTATCTTCTTCATTATTGTTGTAATTTTCTTCGTCTTACGTTTTATTTTCATCTTCATCGTCCTGTTCATTATCATTATCTTCTGTATCACTGTTATGATTTTCTTGGCCATACGCTTTATTTTCATCTTTTTCATCTTTACTATCTCCAGATACATTTAAACATGTAATATTTCTTCTAAATCTTCAGATTTTATGGACTGTATGGTTTCTCCGAGCAAATTGGAACTTTTAAGTCCTGGTCAAGTCAAACATAGCTTCATACAAACAACATTTTATACCTTCATGGCTCTATTTTTAAATTGTACAAAGCGCAAACCGTCAATCCATTGTTTTATGTGTTTGAAGCCAAGTGCTGAAGAGTGAAGATGTTTTCGACATCTTGGTTGATACGTTCAATAGATCCTTGACTTTGACACGGTTTTCCATGGACAATTTTTAATTCAGATTATATGGAACGAATTTCTTCAATAACTCGATTATCGAAGTGAAGAGTGAAACGCTAATGAATTTTTAGCCAAGCGAAATGCAGAAAAATGGGGAAATGTCATTGTATTTGTGGACGTTATACGAAAAGCGAAGAGATACATTCTGTATACGCTGAATACGAGTAAGCATACGTTGAGACAACGCTGATATGTAGACTGCATCAGCGTAGTTGAATAAGAAGATTATAAATAGTTGGGATAAGGAGTAAAAGTTAAAATACGACTATCAAAAAATTAGTAGTTTATGGGGTATTTAATATTTTATATTAAAATATGCCAGAATAAAGTATTTTTATTGATTTTTTGATATCTCCACTTTAATAATTTTATATGAAGAATAATTAGAGAAACCATATTTTGTAAATAAAACTATATAATTGCATTTATTATATAATTATACAATTCAAAAATAAATGTCACGTCAAAATCTTGGCACGTCCACCTAGAGAGTACCTGTGACTATCAAAAAATGTCCCTCTTGAAAAAAAGTAAGTTTCACTTGAAACATTTTTTGGAATAATGAATAATTAGGAAGATAATTGCGTCCGAAGTGTCAAATGAAACATTCTGTAATAAAAATTTGTAATTATATACCATAATACAGTCTAGTCGCTATGTGAGCCTGTAAGGCATGAAATAAGAAAAATAATTTAAGACTGCATCATACCTTTGTATTAAAAAATCTAATTAAAAAAATTTTTCTAGTTACATATGTATCTGGCTTTCTAATTAATACATGTTGTGTATACACATATACAAAGTGTCACTAAAATTGACGATAAATATTTTATAAACAGATTCTTTATAACATTTTAAGATGAAAAGTTCTAATACAAAAATGTTAGACTATATGATAGTTTTTAACGCTTTGTGCGCCAAAGATACTTTGAATATGTTTAATACGGGGCTCAAAATACTATTCCTATTTGAATACAAAAGATCGTCTCTTAAAAATGGAAGACGGACTTCTGCGGAAAGTTGTGCGTCTCCTGGAATTGGGAGACGTGGCACTCTAAATATTAAATGGGAAGAGTTTAAATATTACGAATGATGGGGTTAGAATTTCGCATTCTTAGAGATGGCAAGATGATCAGTGTTAAAGTGCTTCTCGAACTTCACTAGCTTTGACGATAACAAAATTCAGTATCTTTACACTGACCAACTTGCAATCCCTGAGCGCGCGAAATTCTAGACCCATCATTCGTAATTTTTAAGCTCTTCCAATTTGAAAACTATCATAGCCTTGACATTTTCGTATTAGACTTTTCGTCTTAAAAGAATCTATCTTTCAATATTTATTGTTAGTTTTGAGATAGCCTGTATAATTGCAATATTAAAACATTTTATGGAAATTAGTCAGATAAAGTATTTAACCCGATTCACAGATGCTTTTTTTATTTTTAAATCAAAACATGGTACTATCCGCAGCACTGGATAGTACCATTCCAGATAACAAAACGTTCCTTGGTATAAGAAAAGAAATAGGTGCTTAGCACAAGTTTCTCTTCAATTACTATCATGTTACTATCACCAAGACAATAATAATTTCGTTTAGAGCAACCTAGAGGCATTATGCAGACAATGGTTGTTTGCGCCAACGAGCGAAAATATTGTAGCAAACTTATTGTCATAAATGTTGCTACAATCTGTTGAAAATCGTTTTCATAAAATATTTAGTCCACATTTCTGTCAATTGAATGGAAATGGAGTGTCGTTGAACAGTATGCGGCATCGCCGCAAGTTACTACACTACAAAGATGCTTACAATGTAGTAACATATTGCTAGTGATATATGATGCACAATATACATTTCATTATGTCGATATCAGGGATGAAATCTACGGATGATAAAGCGATAGTGGTATTTTTCAAGCTAGCACGATTGATCAGAAATTCGATGCGGACCATATGAATGTCAAAACCAGTAGAAGTTGAAGAAGGGCGGATATTACCGTATTGTCTTGTTGGAGACGAAGCTTTCTTTCTCAAGTCGTACTTGCATCGCCCTTATCCAGGCAAGAATGGACTTACACCAGAGCAAGTTGTGTACATATAAAAAAGTCGTGCCCGGAGGATGATTGAGAATACTTTAAATATTTTAACAAGTCAGTGGCGAATACATCGAAAACCGATAATTGCTAATCCAGAAAACGTGATGTTAATGATGTTAATTCAAAAGTAACAGTTTGTTTACACAACTAGCTGCGAAAAAGCGATGCAAACAATGTTGCATATTTGCACGCAGGTTTAGCTCAAACAGGTTCAGGCTTGGCTCTTGGCGAAGAATAATGGAAGATGGATATACACTTACACAAACACGAGTGCTCGCAGGTGCATGGTAATTAGGGATGAATTTTGCGATTATTTTAATAACAAAAGAGCAGTATCGTGGCAAGAGGATCATTAAGATAGTGATTTAATTATATGAAATAATACGATATAAATCGATGATCAAAGTTAATTTATGAAGAGTATTGTCAAGATTGTGAAGATTATTGTCATTTCAGATTTTAGTTAAACGATTATGTTGCAAGGCCGACAGTATACCGCGCACAGTCTGTCTGAGAGAAATAAATGTAATTAGAATTTTATATATATAATTACATTATGCCAATATTTTATTGGAATAAAAATAATTATATACAAAGCCTTGACTGTATTTGGCGACTCTTTATATAGTTATGTGACAATATAATTCATAATAAATATAAATAAAAAAATAACCTCTGTATACCTAAAATAAATATTATTGTTCATAGATTATTTGCTAGATTAATTCCGAGAGTCTTAGGTTTCATGCTGGAAGTGTTCTGCATGTACGAAAGCTGAAGTCACTTATACAGAATTACAAATTACATTTTACAAAATGTAAAAATTTATTTTTTGAATTTATACAAAATTACTGGTTATAAAAATATTTAATCACTAACATTGAATTACTTATTATAAATGTTATTTATTAATTACATATAAAATTAATTACTTTTACTATTAAATTACTTATTTAAAATTAAAGTTATTTATTTATGCTTGCGTTTATTCGCAAGTTCATGTTTAGCGTCGAGAAGACTTTCGAAAACAGACGGCGTATGATCTCGTTTCATCTTCGTCCTCGGTTCCTCGTAGGTTGCTCTTCAAAAGTCTCGTGAAGTGCGTAACAGAATCTTCGCGCGCGAGTTCCGATATGGTGGAGGATTTCGTTACTTCTACGTTTACGCAATCAGGCTAATCGAAAATGCGTGATTTCATCAAAACTTCCGCTAATTTAAGTCCTGTAGTTCAATATCATTATCAAGTCCCCGTCACTTCCCGAAGACTGTTTCCTGCAAAAATTAAAGTATATAATTATTTTTTCATTTATGCACATCATTATTACCATTGAAATACCTATAAAATATACTTGATAAGTTACTGGCTATCGGTTGAATTGTTGGTGTCCAGTTCGTAATTTTCATCATTCACTGCCTCCACAGTTCATCATCCGCTGTCAGAGCTTCATCGTCCAATGCGTTTGTTGTCGTTCTGTAACAAAAGATATCAGACAGTACATAATATTGCAGTAATATTGCCGAAATATCGCAAATATTTCTGCTACGGATTTTCACGAATATTTAATATTGCAGCGATATTTATTCAACATTACTTATATATATTGAATATTATTGCTATATTGTAAAATTATTAAAATATTGTACGCTGTATGATATATTATTGCTATATTGTAAAATTATTAAAATATTGTACGCTGTATGATATATTACGTACAAGCCTTGTAGTTGAAGACCTAAAAGAAATTGCATGCTCTCGTAATAAACCCACAAACTACGTGGTAAGGTCGTAGATTCACTTGGCAACTTCTTTCTACAATAAGCCCTGAAAGAGTCACAGACAGATTTCCGCTCCTTGAGTTCTTTGACTGACATTACTTCTATAGAAAAAAACATATAATTAATATTTAATTAAAATGTGTAATTAATGTCAAAGAATAAGAAATGTGTCATAATGTACAAGAAATTAGTATTACTATGTTTTATGGAAACTTCTTCCCACAGTATCTTTTTCCAACGAATTCCTCACTCTGCGAGTGGAAGTTTGAAATTCTACAGAGAGACCGAACATATGATATAAGCTGCTCCTCCAGACGAATTTTCTCATTCGTCCAGGGAGCGCTACTTTGAGCACCTTCATTGTAACTGCAATTGTCGGCTACCGCCTGCGGCCCCGTTGACCAAACTTCTGCGTAGAAGGTTACCGTCATCTGTAAATGTGAATAAGGACAGCAGAGAGTTAAATAAAATTTTAATTTTCACTCAATTCCGTACTTTTTATTATTCAATACTTACCATTTTTTGCATAAAAAATATAAATTTTCATCAGTGATTTGATGGTAACATTGTACACATTCATGAGTCTAGATTTTCGCACAAATGGTCTTGCAGATCTCGTAAGTATAGCATGGCCATAGCTGAAATTATAATAATCATAAGAAAATATTAAAACAAAATAAAATAAAATATAAACGAAAATAAATATAAAATAAATGTGGTTAAAAGTCTGTTTACTTTTTCTTCTAACATTGAAAAACCTAATAAAGATCGAAACGTTTGTTTATTATATGACAAGATTGTTTTTAATAATAGCACGAACACCTATATAGTTTCGACTCGTAGCCCCTCTTTTTGGACTAATTTAGTTGATTCTAATTAAGCCCTCTTGTATTAATAAATTAATTTTATTTAAAATGTGGTTAAAAATTTTTTATATTTACTAACCTCGCTAGATTCTCCATCATTCTGCATTTTGAAGTCCTTGCTGGTCGCTCACGTATTCAATGTATATTAGTACATATCCCATAGTTCAATAAATCGAACTATCGGAGATCATATCCGGATATAGCGAGGGGTAAACCGTTGAGGGCATTGCGGTATACAAATTTGGGGCATTACTGAGCATTACTGCAGGGCATTACTTAAGAGAATTGTGTATTATAATAAGCGATATAAAGTTATGCATTATATACTAGAGCATTAACGAGGGTAAGACATTAATAGGCATTACTAGAGCATTAATGAACATCATTAGGATATTAGTGGGTATAAAAATTGGGCATTATTTGGGCATTACTGGGCATTAGTAGGCATTGGTACATACAATTTTGATCAGCGGTTTACTCCTCGCGTAACACTTATACGGGTTTCAAAATAGAAATATTAATCTATTCCGCTCTTCTTTTGAAAAATTTAAAAGTACTAAGTACCATTTAATTTAATAACCGTTAGTTAGGGACAATACGATAAAGAACTTAATAACTGTTAAATAGGGACAATACAACAAAGAATATTTGAAAAAATTTTTATTGTAAACATACTGAAGGTGACCCGATAAAGGGTCGAAACGTTTAATGTGTACAAAGACATATATATATAAATGTCATAATAAACATTACAAACAGTAATCTATAACGATATTTTCACATTAAGACTGTGTAGGTTTTCATGCTCCTCATACAAAGGAATTGATTTATACATAAGCCGTTTGCATTTTATGTTTTATTATTCATTTTAAAATATACAAAAAATTTTTTGGTGAGAAATAATTGATTTTATAGAGCCTATAAACAGATATAGACGCGAATTCTTCGCCGAAGTTGTGAGCTGATAGGAATTATAGAGTCTTTTGCACTCGTTTGAAAAATACAAAATAATTTCTTATTATTTATGAAATTACCTTGTCGATAAACAAAGAAAATAAGAAAAAGGTTGAAAAATTAGAAAATGGCAGCATTTAAAAAAAATTACAATTTTGACCAAAAAATTTCTTTTTATTCAATAAAAAATTGTTCAAATTAATTATTTTATTAATCTTACAAAATCATCAACGAAAGTATATTTAATAAACTTCCTGTGTTACACCGATATAATTTCATTGATCGAATAGTTTGTGAGTAATTTTTCCCGTCAATTTCAATAAGTAGAATATTTATGTATTAAAGTTCTAAAAGTATACACTAGTTTAACTACAGAAAACAGATTTATAGACGGAGTCGAGTAAAAAGTCTCGCAACGCAAGAAATGGATCGAGGTTCCTTAAAACTTTGTATTTCATTTTGTAACTTCGGAAATATATTTTTTACATGTGCTATTATTGATTAAAGCTAAAGCCGGATTAGCACTTGAGGCTAACTTAAGCTATGACTAAGGGCGACAAGATTAGGGAGACGGTATTTCTTTGACAAGAATTTCTAAAAAATAGCTATTTTTGCCAAACGCGAATAATTGAGAAAATTCTCCATCGATCGACGATCACTATAGATTCGAGTCGAGATGCTTCGCGATCTTTGTGTCGATTTCATTCTACCAAAGAGAAATGTGAGAGGGGGCATGCTGGTCTTTTTCGTGCAATCATCGATATATACAAAGAATGGAATGAGTAGGTTTGCGGCAAATGTGTTTGCTATCAAAAAATCGCATAAAGTCCTATTGTAGTAAATGAAGTATGTATAATTTTGCAATTTCTAAGTGTATTATAAAAACGTTGTGACAAAGGTGCTAAATTGAGATAATTCTTACAGAAAATCCTTTTTTTTTTATTGTCGCAAATACAGGTTTGGAACATTCCAAAAAACATTCCAGAGGGTTGAATCGGGGTAACAATTTAAATGCCTACGGGCGGTGAAGAAATCTTAAAACGGCTCTGATTAAAACAAAAATAAATAAAAAAATTTATTTTTGCTTTAACCGGAGCCGTATAAGCTCCTTTTTCCCACTCAATATCGATTTTCTTCTTCGTCTCTCTTATCACATTTTTCCACCTTTTATTCCTTTCCTTTATTTAATACTTCTCCTTTGACCGTTTGAGAAGACAAACATCTTATTTTTATGTTTCATTGTGCCATATGAATGCATGTCTCAAGTTTTATATGTAAGTCCTTTTTTAAATAATTTTTTGGTTGTTAGCAAATAATTTCAGGTTTATTTTATAATTAATTCTGTTAATTAATTTTCTTTGTGTTTTATTAATACAATTACTATTATTTGAATTTGAATTTTTGTCGTTTAATTTAATTTATATATAATACAAGCCTTATTTCAATGGCACTAGTAGTTACTTTTACATCATTGTTGAGACGAAGAGATATTGCATATAAAAATACTTGCCGTGTAATTATATCCTGAATTGGCATATGATACACAATTACAATTTGAAATAGGACTCGATTTATATCAACTAAGGATCGGCATGCGTATAAAGGACTCGTTTTGCCATCTAAAGGTTCCTACAAAAAGATATGTATGCGTTTATTATTATTAAATGCATTTTTATGTTGAGTAATTATTAGTTTACAAGATTTTATGTGGTTATCAGATTCGAATTTGACGTTGAAAACTTTATAGATAAATATATACTGAAGATGATCGATGTTTAAAAGGTTGAAATGTATGTTTTTATATTTACTGTTATTTCAATTTTGTATTACAACATATCAGTAAATTATATGAAAATTAAATTTTAAAACAAATTAATGATTCTTTAGCAATTAACACCCTACGAGGCTTGCAGCACTTTAATTTAAATTTGAATTGTTATTCATTAGAGTCTTGGATATTAATTGTTAGTTTCAAGTTGTAAATTTTTTAATATTGTTTGATTTATCCCGTTTACACGAGATTCCTTTAATAAGTCACTGAAAAATTGTTCTAAAATAATTCCAGAAAGCTTCCATATTTGAAAAATGACAGTTGGTGTTACATTTTGCGTGACACTTTGATGTTACAGCAGTATAAGTTAGTATTGAGCGAATGGCGGACATGTATTGTTCAACATAATATATAATTAATAGTGCCATGATATTACCATAATATTTCCATTTGTTTCGAAGCTTTCGTGCAATGACGTTATTGTTGCTGAGATTGTCACGGAAAAACGACTATTCCATGAAATAAATTATTCTCTTAAATGCACGCAGCGTTTGGGAAGTATGATCGTGCTCAGGCATCTAAGTAGTGTAAATGGTTCGGCGCACAGTTTGAAAAACTAAAAAAATGTGTTTTAAAAATCACATAGTAATATTATAAGACATTAAAATCTAGTCTTGACCATATTTAGCGCTTCTTTACTCATTTAATTTATTCATAAGGCAATCTATTTCAATTTATTATTCATATTGTAAATATTATTAATTCCTTTATTCTTCAAAGATAGTTTTTTCAACATTAAAAAAAGACTTTAATTTAATTAATTTTAAATTTATTAATAATTTATTAATAATTCTTACATTATAATTTCTTATTATTATTAAAAACTTATTATTATTATTAAACTCTTATTATTATTAAAAAAATTATTTAAAAAGTTTTAATTAGTAATATTTGATTTTTGTTAAATGTTCATCAATATAACCTACAATTTCACTGTAAGAGTAATACAAATAATTGATAATTACATTATCAATAATTACATAATTAATAATTAAATGTTATCATATATTTTTTACAAATATAAATATTTTTTTGATTTTTTTAACTTATATCAAAGTTCTCTCTATCTAGTTTTGTTTAGACACTTTTACGATTTTTATGCTTCTATTATTGAGAAGTAGCATTAATATAATCTGTTAACAATATTTTATTAAAATAATTTTAATTTAGATTGTTCATCCGAATGATATTTAAGTTCAAATAAAACCACTGTTTAAATAAAAACGTTTTATACAGGTTACTAATATATAGCAGTACTACCACACTGAGCAAATACGAATTCATTAAAAAATTTACAGACGAACTCATTCCAATAAAATTGTATGAAATATTAAATACTTTCAACACGTAGTACATTCTTTGATATTATAAAGTAAATGGATTATTAATTGACTTCTTCTTTCTATAATTGTCTCTCACATAATCATCAATTAATAATTTTACTCTTTATACGTATTTACTTTATATACGTATTAATAATTTGTAATATCTAATGCAATATACTTTTTATATATTAATCAAATCCTCTCACTACACAGGATGTTGATACAGTTATGTTTAATTATGTACATTTTTATTTAAAATGCCCTTTTTGAAACCAAATGGTTCTTTTTCTTTAAACAGATAAAAATCTCATTTTAGATATTACTGTTTTAACTATTTACATATCTTTCTTAATTTGAAGCTTATGTCAAAACAAACTTCAATGAGACACGTGACAATAAAAATTAGTATAGCTCTATAAGATGGAACTTCAAAATAAAAGTACATATCATAAACTTTTCTTATAATAAATATTGGAAACTTGGAATCAATAAAAGATCGAAATAATATTTAAAACAATATGTATAAACTATAAATATTATATATTTTGATTCCCTTCATCGTCTGACCTTAATAATGCTAATAATTTTCCTTAATAATGCTTGATGTTATGTACATTAGCCTCTTATTTTCTTTTTCTATCAATTTGTAGACTACAACTCAACTACACTTGACTCAATGATTTAATAAATTAAGAAATAAATCACTCTTGACGTTTACAAAGTACGATTACAATTTACTTTATATTTGCCTGGTTAACGAGATTGCAAAATTGCATTCTCTCGTAAGTTAAGGAAAAAAGATTGTAGAAATAATATTACGCTCGTGATTGCACAGTTCGTGATTGCAATTTTCATATTATTTACATATTCAAGCCGTACAATATATAACCATAATGCTTAGGGGAACGTGTATAAAATATGGAATATTTCGACCTGTTAATGAATTAGCCGAATACTTTTTTCGTGTAACTATATCGCTTCACTATGTTTTATCTTTTTTTTACACTTTTACTAATTACTTGCAAGGAACACCATTTTAGAATATTAAAATAAGATATTGTCTCTTATCTTTTTCCCGAGTTCATAATATATAGGTATACACACACACACAAAGCGATTAACTATCCATTACATGGCTTAGCTTTATGTTGAAGTAACTCTTTTAAAAGGTTTCCATGAATTATTTCCACGTTTTGAACAAACATAACGAATAGCTTCTGACTACAAAGGCTCCGAATATAAATATTATGTAATATGAGATGATATCGTGATCATTTTCAACCAACGACGAATAGAATCTTCACAAGTCTATATCCATAACCTTCCTTTAAGAGACCCTAAGCCGTAAAGCCGTAAGAAATTGACCAATCACAGTTGATTATTTTTCTCATATTCGACTGTGATTGGTCAATTTCTCAAGGCTTTACGGCTTACTGCCTCTCAAAGCA